TTTCATTTACGAGAGAACTATCAAATAGGCCTGGGCCATATTTGGTCCACAACCCCCCCTCGAAAGAAGACAAATACCCCTGCTTGCAGCAGGGTATTTTTGCAGCAACAGCACAGAAGCATGCATTATAGTGTGCCACATCCTGGAGTCTGAAAACAAAAGAAAAAAACACTGTCAGAAGCAGTGCTCATTACTAAGAAAACTAATTTGTTTATGCATACCCTATATATCTGTGTGCCTCTATAAAACAAACACACATATGTGAATTAAGATCATTGAGTTGGAAGGTTTAGTTCTGTCTGCAAAGGCGCATTGTGTGCATGAAGCCTCTGCCATCCCAAGAGACCTTGCAGCACGTTCTGCTTCAGAAAGAAAGAACCATCCCCTCTGACAATCTCAGACAGACAGAGAGAAGGACTTAGTCACAGGGTGTGGATGGTACAGTCATTTGAAGAGCTCTGAAGGACATAATTGCTTTCACATTTTCATCCAGCTTTCTAACAATCCAAGAAACTGGGAAAAGACTTACTAATTTTTTACTGGCTTAGAAGCTGTCTAGGAAATTCCAAGCTCACTCATTGGCTCCATCAAATGTAGGTTGTTAAGCAATTAACCTAAACGCACAACCTGCCAGCCAAGTCACCTCTTGTCTTTGGTAGGACACGCTCTACAGGAAGGGAAAGAGGTTCATCCTTAGCACCCTGTGTTCTGTTTCTCTAGTTCTTCTTGCTGTTAAGACCAATATCATGAAAGGTCTGTGTAAACACCATCCTACCCCCATATCCCCACATCACTCTGTTCTCCAAAGGGAGACCGTGGGCATGTGCTGACTGGACAACACAGAAATCAGTGCTGCCCTGTGAATAACCACGAGAGAATAACACCAGCACTCTGACGAACGACCTCTGAAGGCCATGTTCCCCAGTGCCAAACCCTTTGCCTACAGCTGAGAACAGAGTTCAGACCTCTTGAACAGATTGTGTAAGTTTTGCTTTTTATTAGACAGCCAAACTGAGAAATCAGAAAGGGAAATAACTTCCATGGGCAAGAAATTACCAAATTTTTAAGTCAACCTGAAACAAAACACTTCACATAGCTTTTGACTAATGTTATTAATCTAGTCTTAAAATCTTATTTTGAAGTGAAAAGTCAATCTTTTAAATATAAACAGAAATATTTGAACTTTAGTTTTTTTCTTTAATGAAAACTGTGAATATGAATTATTTCAGCAGCATTTCCTTTTTTAGAAAGATATGTTTTCACTTTTTCAGTTTGCTTAATGGCACAACACTTGAATGATCACTGAATAACAGATAGTGGTTCATTCTACTGACATTTTTGCCTAACTGCAGGATGGCACAGCCTTCAAGAGATTCAGCATCTTTTAGAGTCTTTTCATGGCAGAAGTAAGAAGATCAAATAAAAACATTACTGAAAATTGAACAAAAAGCATAGAAATTGATCTTTCCTTTCCTTTCCTTTCCTTTCCTTTCCTTTCCTTTCCTTTCCTTTCCTTTCCTTTCCTTTCCTTTCCTTTCCTTTCCTTTCCTTTCC